AGGATAAATAAACAAATAGCCTAGGCTGCAGCTTTGAAATATTACAAAAAAAGAAAACCCAAGCGCCCCTAACTATGGATGAGCCTGTAGTTGCCTGAATAAAACCAAATCAAACACTAGCTGGTTCCTATATCATGCTAAGCCAGATGCATGGGCTCCAGGAGTGCTTCACTTCTTCTCCATGGTCCTGCTGCCATGCCACACTGTGCTAAGCAAAGGCATGGCTCACTGGGTCGTCTGAACCCAGGCTTGTGGTTTAGCTCACTCCAGACTTAACCAGAAGTTGCAACCCCCAGATTTGCCCTATGATTCATGGGTTTACTCAGGAGAGCTAAACCTCGAGCCTGGGTTCAGATGACCCAAGGCAAGGTTTAGCTTAGCACAAGCACTACAAAGGACCAGGGAGGAGCAAAGTCACTGCGGTCTCCTCTCTGGGAATATGTACAGTTGCACTGACTAAGCCATGATTTGGCTTAGCATGATGTGCAAATCAGGCCATTACTTAACTTGATAGTGTGCTGTGTCATCAAAGCATCCAAGAAAGTGGCTGATCTGTCATTTTTTTAGCAGCAAAAATTCATGTTTCCATAGCATCTCCCTCTACAAAGTGGAATTAAATATCATTTTCTTGTCACAGACATTCTGGAGTTCAACTGTACAGCACGCCAGTGGATGTATGCTGGTATAGGCGACAGTAGCCCTGATTCAGTCATTCCCTTTGTAATGGGATGGAACTTGCTTTGGTGTAGTCAGGTCCCATCCCACACTATTGATGTTTGCAGGGTTGAGCCATCTTTGCAGGGGTGATGTGATTATTTCCCATCTGCTAGACATCATAACAGGTGGTGACAGCATGGGGAAGCAACAACATAATTGCAAGAGCCCACATACCTAGTCCTTTAGAAACATTACCCAAAGCAGCATGTGGCTAGACCATGCCCCATAGATTGCCACATGGCACAAGTAGCATCTGAATTAAGCCTACACCTGTATTTCACTTTGGAAATGCCTTTTCTCAACACAGAACGAGAAAACCAAACTCTTTCATTTTTGGCTTGCTGCTCTTGTTAACACTTAGCAAACTCGCTTAAAGCCGGACAATAGGGAGGAGAGAAGACTTGACAACAAAATAAGATAATTTGTTCTGAAGATTCCTAGCAGATGTGCGCAAGTGCAAGCTGGGAGTTTCCTTGCAAAGAATTTGGCTGGTATGCAGCAGAACTTTGGCTCAGTGGCCTGCTTTGCTGATGGGCACTGCAACAATAATAGGCCATTTGAAGGCAAGGCCAATTAATTGTAATGGCTGTGCCCAAAGGATAAATATATTACACAGGAATTCCTTCGTTAGCTACAGAATATAGTCCATTTCATTCCTTGGAGAGACCATGATGACATAATTGTGGGTTGGCATCCTATTGGCACTTCCTGGCTCTATCAGCATTGCCCCTTGACCTTTAAATAAAAGTGAAGGGAAACGGAGGGAGGGCAGAGCAGCCTCCACATTATGTATTGATGCCATGTAAAAACTTTATAATGCATAAAGACCACTGCTGAGATTTAGAACGTCAACATTTTTGGGTCACAACTCTCTGGCAAGCTTGTAAGGCCTTTGCACAACTGCATGGAATATATAGGTGCCTTTCTCAGATTTTCCCTTTAACCCCATTTCCCCCCTCTCTCTCTCTCGTGGTTGCTCTCCAAAAAGCGTTTGAACTTAAGTATGATACATTATCCTATATGTTGGTATTTCTCCCTCCAAAGGAGAGAATGGGATTCAGAAGAGTTTGGCTTTCTTCTTCATGTCGTTGCGTCTCCAGAGAGGTAATTTATCAATTCCTGTATCGTCATGCCGAATATTTCTTGGAAAACCTCAGGTTGCTAAGTGACGCTGAAGGAAGAGAGGAAAAGGGCAGCTATCAGTCCAAATGTTTTAAACAAGAGACTTGTATCCCTTTAAAAACCATTAGCCAAACATCTGTTTGGGGAGTCTGATAATTCTCTTACCTCTCCCTGGTTCTATCCACTTCTCGTAGAATTTACTTCGCCCTCCTGTTGGACACCATGAGCAGTTCATAGGGGAATATCTGTTAATGGTATAACAAGAAGCATTTATGTAGATTTAGATCACCCCCAAAAATACACCATTAAGCTCACAAGCAGAATGCAGTCACTGTTGGCAGACAGCTTCAAGTTCACTAAAAAGCTGCCTTAAGTATTTGAGTGTAATGTGCACTGTTTCCTTGAATCCTTTGTTCCTTAAAAAATAAATAAATCATACTTAGCAGGATGTCTAACCAGTTCATTTTTTGCACAACATTATAACTAAAATCTATGTGGATTCATTTCATTTCTGGATTATTCCTTGAGGGGGCATTACCCATTTTGGTTTGTTCACATATGAAAATAACTACTATCATTAATGAAGGTACATCGTTAGGTCTGAACAAGTATCTCATCATGTGTCTTTTCTTCCACCCTTGTCGCTGTCCAGTTGAAGCTGATTTTTCACATATCCACCAAAGCTAGCTACCCTAACTTGTTCTGCTGATTCAGTGGTTTTCTGTGTTGTGGAATTTAACTAAGCATTTAATAGTTGTTTCTTGATTAGAAGAATAGTAATGGTGGACAAGTTTCTCTTATACTAGACATAGAATCATAGAACTGTGGTGTTGAAAGAGACCATGAGGGTCATGTATTTGAACCCCTGCAGGAATCCTTTTGCCAATCATGGAGCTCCAACCCATGATTAAGAGTCTTGTGCTCTAACACTGACCTATCAGCTCCATGCAGTAGAGTTGGGTCTATTCCTGCTAAATGGATCACTGTCCAGCCAACCTCAGTCTGCCCCAGTCACCCCAACTTGCCTGCCTTCTTACTTACAACTAATACACTGGCTGTCACCTTCCTCCTCCTTAGTTTGAGTTTTGTACGTGTAGGGCAAACAGGTATAGGGACAAAACTAGAATTGGCTCTGCTTGTCAATTGGCTCTAGCTCTATTCTACCATTGACTCCCTTTCACCCTACTAACCCCAAATGGACACCAGTCACCACAGCATAAGAAGGATTGTTTTTGTCCACACTTCTGCTTGTTCCAATGCTTTTCCCCTAGGAAAACCTACTCTTTACTGCTCAATTGGAGCAAACGTCAATCAGGGTTTTCCATAATGCAGAATTATGGTGTAACCAGTAAGGAGGAAATGAACTTCTAGTCCTTTCTAGCTCTATCAAGATATCTAAACAAGAGTTCTTTAATCTGAGCTACTGGCTGAATATGCCAATGATCAGGGCCCAAATTTTCCTCTCCTTGAAGGTTGTAGAGACTTTTGTCAATTTTTTAAAACTGTCAATAAAATGGTGGGACCTAATTGAGACCGCTAGTTGTTTTTATCAGCTGCAACACCTAATGAAGATTTCAGAAGTACAATAAAGAAGATAAAGTCATCAAACATATACCACTTAGTTTATTGTAATTATTTAAATGATGTGTACTTTATATACAGCTTGGAAGAGAATTGGTAGTGGAATATGACATTATACAATTCACTTTACTATATAACTTTAAATACATCTTTTTAATGCTATACAATGCAACATAAAACTAACATACATTATTGTAACAAAATTAGCCAAAATTCCACAAACTTTGCTGATAACTTTGAAGTCATTAATCATATTCTTATATTTACAAAACCACAGAGTAGTGCTCTTAAGTGCTTTAAAAATATTTTGAGTCCAAATTGGGCAGATTCTCAGGGTTGGTTGCCATCAAGCTAACGCATCTCATCAGTACAAGGATTTATGCTAAAACCTCCCATTCTCCCATAAACTTTCCATACCTGGCCTCCCCAATCTGCTTTGGAGAGTTGAGGAATCCCTTTAGAAGAGGATTTAGGGAGCCACCAGGCAACGGAAGAGGCGGAAGGGTTATGTTGCCAGCGAAGCATCACATTCTTGGTGCTTTATTGACAGTAGTGAGGAATTATGACCTCGTGGGCCTAATCAGGTTTCGCAGGGGGTTTCTGCGTGCAAGGCTCTCCCAACCTGCCCTATACCTGAATGTCACCGATGACATCCAGTGCAGTGCGCAGTGTTTTTTTTTCAGCCAGGGGAGTGTGCCCAGAAACTCCCCACTCCACCTCTTGCCTTACTATAACTTCTGAGAAGGCCCAAAGATGGAAGCAGTCCAACCATGTGTGAGTCTAGGACATTTTCTGGAAGATCCATGACTCCACCTAGCTCCTAGTCGCTCCTAGCTGCGACTGGTCAGGCTATGGGGTGGGGCCAATTCATAGTTCCTTTTCTTCAATCAACCCCTTGTGTAGCAGCAGCAGGCTTTAAGCTTTGCTGCCAGGTCTCTACCGTTGCACCTATGTGCAATGTGTGATGGCCTGAATATAAGAGAAAGAGGGAAGTGGAGGTGCATTTATTTGACCTGCACCAGAACGAGGGGAAACCCCCAAACTAGCTAGGGAGACAGTTTGCAGTCGTTTTTCCCCCCTCTTTTTTTAGCACCTCTGCAGGCGGTGAACATGGGTTCTATCAAGCCGGCATCTGTTTAGGCCTGCCTTGAGTCACCCGGTGACTTACTGTAACTTCATGGTGAGTTCCAGCACCTATTTTTCTTGGAAAAAAAAGCACTGGAGGTGGGGTACGTAAAGATGTGGCTCCCTGCTGAAAGGGGTGTTTAGCAGGCACCACTGCTCAGTTACAGACTGTGCCCTGTGGGTTCTTATTACTGTGGCTGTCAGAAGCTTGGTCCTGAAAGCTTACCAGTTTCAAGTTTCACTGAACGCTGCTGTCTGTTCCCCAGGAAATATTAGCTGCTCTTGCCCTGTATACATCAATGACATATGTCCTACAGTCCAAAGCAAGATAGGGCTGGCACATAAGGAGCAACATTTTGGGGGGTGGGGGACAGACCACAGGGCTACAAGCACAAACTACCACCATTTCATAGGCAAACCATCACTGTCTTGAAGGAAAGTGAATAATGTCTGCACTTGCCTTTGGTTCCAACATGTTAGGCATAGACACTCCTCGGTCCATTCGCATTCCAGGGACATGACCATCTGGGAGGGACTGTATCAGATATAGGTAAACATCAGACACACAGGTTACATGCACACACACATAGAAAGGGTAAAGGCATTCAAGGTGAATATGGACATGTATTTATACTATGATCCCATGTTAGATCTTTACATCAGCCAATGGAATACTATGATTACGTACTCCTTAAGCAAGTTAACAATCTGGTTTCTATGGTGTCCAACAAAAGCATTCCCAGTAGTAAAGATTAAGTAGCAAGTTAAGAGAATCTTTCTGGTTCTAAGGACCAAGGAATTGACCTACTGGATCAGACCAAAGATCCATCAGATCCAGCATTCTGTTTCCAAGAGTGGCTAGCTAGATGCCTCTGGGAAGCTAGCAGGCAACAGCATTTCCCCCAGTGTCTGGTATTAATAAATCAATTTGTAGGGAGGAAGAGGAATGACGGGCAATATTGTCTCACAGAACTGACTTGTCATCTTCTATGTTACTTTTCCAGCTATACTTTACTCTGAAGTTTTTGCCCTGTTGTAAAAAAATCTGCCCAGTAAAATGGCAAGTTCCTACCTATCCCAGGCTGAAAAAGACTTTCCACATTAATAGCATAATATGCAATAAAGATTCTGTCCAGATCTCTTCATAAGAATTTTACATAGAATTTAGAGTTAGGGCTGGCGTTTAGAAGAAACAACAACCCTTTTTATTGGTCAATCAATGGATCTTCATGTCTGTGTTATATGAAGTCATTTGCTGGCTATTTCTTCCATGCCCACAACCACATACAAAGGAGGAAAGGTCAGGGAATCATATGTGGAAAATAGGAAGATGGTATGGCTTCAGAAAGAGGAGAGTTATTGTCTGGACCTCCCTTGTTTGGAACCAGAGAGATCAGGAGAAACCTGATGGAGAAACAACTGCCACAGGTGGCTTTCAGGTCAGTCTTCCAAAAGCTTACCAAGCAAGTCACAAAACTGGCCTATGCAAGGTATTGTGTTAGCTGTGCCCTTTTCCACAGTGATATAAGTTTACATCATTGGTTAGAAATGAAACATGCAGATAAACATGTGCTAAGAAACTCTTCCCTGTAGCGGAAATTCAGACTTGAGTCACATAGTGGATGAATTGTCGATGAAGTTGGTTAGATACTTGGTTACTTGATGGAAGAAAATCTGTACTGTACCTGAAAATCTGAAAAGTGATGGGGATGGGGTGGGGAGAAACAGCATCAGGATTAGGATGCCAAACAAGACGTGTTTCATTTAATCCCCAAGCTCCTAACTTGCAGGAATCAACTAAATGTTTCCCAAACCTGGGTCTCCAGCTTTTTTGGACTATAACTCCCATCATCCCTAGTTAGCAGGTCAGGGATGATGAGAACTGTAGTTGAAAAAATAGCTACATGTTTGAGAAATACTGAACTAAATGATCAGAATCAAGCAGACAAAAATACAGATCCATATGCATAAAATAAAATAGGGTTTTAATGTACACATTCCCCTCTTTATTTTAACTTGTTCTCACTGCTGAAGAACCAGATTCATTTGCAAGAACAAAAATTTGTACATTGCAGGGATAAGTAAGGTGTTCACCTGTCTGCTATGAGAATAGACTAACCACAAAAGCAGGCCACAAAAACCCAAGCGTATAGGTTACAGATATAGCAGCATACAAAAGAAAACCGTATTTCTCATCATGTTACCTCGAGCAGCGCTGCTCACATCCCCATAACTGTTGTACTGACCAAAGTCTGTAGAGACCGGCTAGAAGAAGACACAAATGGACACGTCAACCACATTGTTGATCTGGAGGTGTCAAAAATATGCAGCATATGCACATAAAAACCGACCACAGAAGAAGATAAAATAGGGTAGTGGGGAAGAGATGACTGTACTGAAGCACTGGGTCTGTGAAACAGGAAACACTTGAATGAGCGGGGAGAAAGTAGCAAAGATCCCAAAGAGGTGAAAAGCCACAGTGAGCTCCCATGCTCGGTCCCTGCTCCTGTCAACCTAGCAGTTTGAAATCACGTCAAAGTGCAAGTAGATAAATAGGTACCACTCCAGTGGGAAGGTAAACTGAGTTTCTGTGCGCTGCTCTGGTTCGCCAGAAGCGGCTTAGTCATGCTGGCCACATGACCTGGAAGCTGTGTGCCGGCTCCCTCAGCCAGTAAAGCGAGATGAGCGCCGCAACCCCAGAGTCGTTCGCGACTGGACCTAACGGTCAGGGGTCCCTTTACCTTTACTTAAAGGGTATGGAGTAGTGGCAATTGATCATTGTACTTTTGCTGCCAGGGGAGCAATTCTGGATTCATTAGGTCTTTACCTCAAATGCTGAAGTATCTTGGGCCAGGCCTGATTTTTCCCTCAAAGCATGTACAACCCATTCTTCAGCCAGAAAAGTTTCCACAGCAGCTTACAAATCAATAAATATAACAGAGTGCTTGCACTCAGGCTTACAACACAGCACACAAGATAAAGTGATGGGAGGGAAGAGGAAAACAAACAAACAAACTCAGGCATCAAATTATTGATACCCAACTGGCGGCATTAGGTTTTTCTGAACTATATTTTAAAAGTTTGGGGATGGAATTCACTAAAAAAGTTGAAGCAAATATCATCTGATGTATTGCTTAAGAGACACATAGAATATACAGTGGAACCTCGATTTTTGAGCGTCTTGGAAGCCAAACATTTCGGTTTTCGAACGCTGAAAACCTGGAAGTGATTGCTTCCGTTTTCAAACATGCCTCAGAAGTTGAATGGCTTCCGTGGTGTGTTTTTCAATTTTCACCATTGAAATTGACATTCTCCCTTTGGACCTCGGTTGTCAAACATTTCGGAAGTCGAACGGTCTTCTGGAACGGATTCAACAACCGAGGTTCCACTGTACATCAGGTTCTAATATTGCACCACTGCATAAGAATTCCCCTTGTGTTCCTCTTGTGTTACATTGTTATTTTAAGGATTTTCAGAAATGGAGAGATAATGTAGTGTTAACTAAAGCCCAGTTATATCTGCCTTCAACTATTTTAGGATGGTTCAGAAATATGGCATATAGTACTCTGAATGTATCTATCCTTGTTTGAGTGCATTGAGAGAGCAATACTTGGGAAGCTACGTGAATTTATAATCACTTGCATTTCCTGAACTCCAGAACAGATAAAGGGTTTTAGGGCCACCTACTTTCAATCAATACCATTTAGAGACTCCATGAAATTCATAACAGAATAATGACACATATGACCCTGTCTTATAAGAAATGTTGACTGTTTACCCTATGAAGTCCATTTCTTCCATAGCCAGGAAGGGAAGAGGTTTTGGAAGCAGTTGCATGTGGAGCTAAACAGAAAAGGGAGAAGGAAATATCAATAATGTAACAATTTATGTTAGGACAGAAACAATAACACACACATTCAAAAAGTCAAAGTCAGGACATTTTAGAAATCAGTTAAAAGAACCCACAAGATTTTCTCCAAAAGGAATCTTGAAATTATAAGTTTGAAGCAAACTTGGCCTTATTATATTGAATTTAGTTTCAACAAAATCCCTCTTCTAATGCTATGAAGGGGGGGGGGGAACAGGAGGGTGGAGGTTCAGCATTCTGAAACGTGCGGGGGTGCTGCATGGGCTATAAAATGTTCCCTGTTGCTCATCTTCTAGAAGTTGGAAGGTGATTGAAATGGTGACTGAGGGGTGATGGAACTAGCCCACTCACCCCCACCTGCTTACATTTCTGTCTTAAGAAAAGCCATTTTCAGGGGTCACAAAGCTCCCTGTCCTCTGTTTCTCTTCAAAAAGATGGGAGTATACAATCCTCTATGCTGCTTAAAATGCACTTCTTTTTTAGCCCACAGTTAGTAGGTAAGCACAAAAGGCTCAGTGGTTTAGACCACAGTGCCACCCGCGTTGGGGTGAGTTCCTGTTGCTCTGTCCCAGCTCCTGCCAACCTAGCAGTTCGAAAGCACGCCAGTGCAAGTAGATAAATAGGTACCGCTGTGGTGGGAAGGGAAATGGCGTTTCCGTGCACTCTGGCTTCTGTCACAGTGTTCCGTTGTGACAGAAGCAGTTTAGTCATGCTGGCCACATGACCCAGAAAGCTGACTGTGGACAAATGCCGGCTCCCTCAGCCTGAAAGCGAGATGAGTGCCACAACCCCACAGTCGCCTTTGACTGGACCTAACCATCCACGGGTCCTTTACCTTTTACCTTTACTAGGTAAGCAGTTGTGCTTTTGTCACAAGTACTTCCATCTTAGAGTTTGAAAAGTGCATGAAGGACATACAATCCAATTATACAGAATCATACACATCCTCCTATAAACAAACGGTTAAGCAGTAATTATAAAATGCAGTCTTTTCTCTGGAATGTATCATAGTTTGCCCATACGACCTGTCTAGTGAGCCAGTGATTCCGTTTTCTATGATCCAGCACTTTGGAATGTGCTGCCCTGCTCCCTGAGGCAATGCTGATTTCCTCTCCCAATGTGGGAAAGGCTAAAAGGCTATGAGAAGCATAAATATCAACAAGGTGTATGCCACTTTTTAAACATGATTTCCTGGCCTAGCTTGTTGGCTTTTCAGGAACACTAATATTGCCGTGACCTCAGCAGTAATCTACATTTTACATGTTATTCATTTAGGCAAGTAAGCAATCATAAAAGATGCTTGTTGTAAAATGTGCAACTCAGTATTTGTTTTCTAAATTAAATGCTGTTGCTTTTTAAATCTTGATGCAAACGAGGTGTTTTTTTTTAAAAAAAGAATAATCAGAATTAGTCATCAAACTTCAGGCTCTATACAAGGCTATTTTTTTTAAAACTCGTTTAAGTTACTGCCAACCACATCATTTTTTATTTCTAATTTGAGAACTAGTTGAAGATTAATTGGAGTAAGCAACATACCACTAATATTTTTCTGTTTCTTTACAGACCAAAGCAAGGGAAGCTTTCCCAAGAAATCAGCACCAACAATTATCGTACTGTTCATAAAAATTCTGATCTCATGGATCAGCAGTCTTTCAAACAACATCCATGATATTTCCTCTGTAATCTGGGAATATATTTACTCCCCAGCCATTTCCTCATTTGATTTATTTAAGATGTGCCAAGGATCTGGAATCGGGGAAATCTCAATTCTTGCACAAGGCATTCTGAGAATGTATTGTGAAAAACAGCCAGCGATAAAAACGGCAGACGTTGAACACAGGAGTTGATAAAAACAGCTTCACTGATCAACATCTTTTCGCAGAACCAGCAATAGAATAGATGAAAAAACTGGTTTTATTTTAGGCAGCCTAATCCATCATTTCCCATAGACCACCCATGTATGCTTTTTGCTTACATGAATTAACTGGAGAGTTATAACGGCTGCTGGGGAAGCGAAGACCTTTCCTTCTCCATTTCTTCTTTTAATATCAATTGTCCCAGACCTGAGTTGAGCTGCAAAAATGGGAATTAAAAATTGTTACGTAAGCTATTGAAAACATCCAGTTCAATTGGCACAGATGAGTGATTCACATCAATATCATAACCACCTTCATCAGTTGTTCCTCCTGTAGCTGCCGACGTCTCTGAAGCTCCTCAAGATCTTCATCTCTTGCCAGTGGATCTGCGGCGCATGTCAGAACCTACTTCCACAAAACCACAGCACAAAGAGAGCTTCTTGCACAACTGTTACACAAGGATTGACAACCATTACCCATGTCTCCTTAGGCCTGCCGCATAAAATTTGCTTGCTGAATAACAAAACTAAACTCCACTAAACACATAGCCAGATGTTCTATCAATTTTGTTTTCAGAAATAGCCATGATATACTTATCTCCAGTTTAACTCTGTTGCCTTCTGAGTAGAACCCAAATTTTTGTTACCTCCTAAGTGTGACATATACTGTAAATACTGTGGTTTCACTCATTTTACTAGAGGCCCATATTGAGGAAAACTGAGTGCCGACAGCCAAACTCCTGAAAACAGATATTTGGTAACGTCCCATCGATACAACCATTGCTTGTATCTTTCTCCTCCGTGTTCCTAATTGAGAGGCCATGGTAGAGCTAATTTGGCCCAGGGCTTCAATTTTCTAAATAGTAATTTTGCACGTTTTAGCTACCGTATTTTTCACCCTATAGGACGCACCGGCCCATAGGACGCATCTAGTTTTTTTTTTTTGGGGGGGGGAATAAAGAAAAAAAAAAATATTATCCCCAGGCTTGCTGATAGCTTCCTGAAGCCTGGAGAGCGACCCCTCTTGCTCTCCAAGCTTCAGCGAAAGCCTGCATTCGCCCCATAGGACGCACACAGATTTCCACTTCATTTTTGGAGGGGAAAAAGTGCGTCCTATAGGGCAAAAAATACGGTACTTTTTTCAATTGGTAAGTGAATCTCGTACGCATTGTGGGCTGGATCCTGAGGCACCAGTAGAAAAAGCTCTGGCAGAATTCTGGCCCCAAAACTTTCGTACAATAGCTAGAGGAAGACTTTGCACAACTTGGACTTGCATAAGCATGCATCTTGAAGTTTGTGCAAGAACTTGTGTTACAGAAGTGTACCATTGGATTTCAGCTCTCACAATAAGCATCTTGTGCTATGTTCAAAATAGCCCTTATGCCTATATAAGGGGACTTCCACTTTCTAACGGGCACCTCTACGTCCAACTCCATTAAGTAGATTAAAACTTTGTCAGTTGTAACAACAGGGAATAATATCATAAAGAACTTGGGAATTAGGTGGGCCCTTTTAATAAAAGCTTTAGGATGAAAGATTTGAGCAACTCCATTTCTAGTTACCAATAGGAAGCTGAGATTTGGCCCATGTTTTTAGTGATATATGTTGTTATTATTACATTTATAACCCACCTTTCCTTCACTGAGCTCAAAGTGGAGTACATGGTTCTTCCCCTCCGCATTTTATTCCCACAACTCTATATATGAGGTAGGCATAGCTAAAGTTTTAGAATTTCTCTTTCTCTCTCTCTCTCACACACACACACACACACACACACACACACAGAGAAAAACATTCGTCTGCATGCACACACAGATCACATGAAGACCCCTGTAGTTTGATCAAGCCCATCTAGTCCCTGTTAGAATCATAGAGATGGAAGGGCACCCTGAGAGTCGTCTTCAATGCAGGAATCCCATCACTGTCTCCTCATGGTGGCCAAGCCTGCGAGGAGCCCAAGAACATCTCTCCC